ATACCAAATGCACTCGCTACGCTCGTACATTGCGCTATCGCGCACAGTATCCTACCACACTGCCGTGCACTATCGCAAGTGCCCACGCTACTCTCGGGATTAGCGCTGCGCGCATCGATGGCACATGCACTCGCTACGCTCGCGCATGGCATGTATCCCTATTGCGCTACCGCGCGGACCCCGGCTATCGCCGGGTGCACTCGCTACCCTCGTGGCGCTCTGCGCGCGGTTCGGTTAAGTACGCTTCCGCACTTTGTAACGTTGTTACAAACACCGAGTCAACAATCACGACATTGACCTGCCACTCGTACTTAACCGAATTCGACCCTTCCCGACGCGCTACGCACGCCGGAACACCATGTTGAGACTTCATTTTGCCCTACTAGTACCGTGCTATCGCACGGGCCAGGGTGCCCTCGCTGCGCTCGTGCCGCGCTTCGCGCAAAAAAGTCGTTATTCAATTAAAAGATAGAAAATAAAATAAAATTAATGATAGATTTTTCCGTCCTGCAGCCCACCCAATGAAATGCAAGATTGATTGTCACTTGACAAATGGGGGCATCGCTGACGACGCACGGGGTACGACATCGAGGATGCGAGACGACTGATCTATGTGGCTGTAGGAAAGCCTTTGCAACGCTGCGAGAGATGGCAAGTTGGATGTTATCCGATCCTGTCTCGATGACGGCGCCAACATCAACTGCTTGACCTTCGTACGTCAGAAGTCGCGCGCGATGACCCTACGCATTGTCGACGTAGACTCGTTGGACGCCATTGCATTATGCTGCTTGGAAAGGCCAATATGGCGCCGCCGACCTCTTGCTCACGAGGGGCGCTGCCATCGCCGCCAAAAACGACGTAACTATGGTGCTGGCTCCTGCGTATATTTTGTGTGTTGGCGTAGGATGGTGAAACACCCTTGTATGTTGCTGCTCTGCATGGTCACTTGGCCGTCGTACGCCTGTTGCTCGAGAAGGGCGCTGCCACGGCCGCCAAAACCAAGGTACGTGGTGCGGTGGCCTCGCTCACGTGCATATTCTGTGTGTTGGCGTAGCGTGGTGACACGCCATTGCACGTTGCTGCTTCTACAGGCCAATATGACGCCGCCGACCTGTTGCTCAAGAAGGGCGCGGACGTCACAGCAAAAAACGACGTAACTATTGCGTTGGCTCATGCATATATTCGGTGTGTTGGCGTAGCGTGGGGACACGCCATTGCACGTTGCTGCTCGGTATGGTTACTTGGATGTCGTACGCCTGTTGCTCGAGAAGGGCGCGGACGTCACAGCAAAAAACGGGGTATGTCACTGGAGCCGAACCCGAACAATGTGTCCCATTCTCAAAATTTGATGAACGACATATTTCGTCTCTTGTAGAATGACGAGACGCCACTCGAGCTTGCAAAAAGTAAGCTTCATTTCCACGTCGCCCTGCTTCTCTCCTCCAAGGAAAACAACGATGAGGTACAACGTTATGTGAATATACCACCGGACGTCACCACGTACGATCTGCGTAGCCCTTGGCAGTGCTGCTACTTGTGGCCTCCTTGGCAAAGTATGCAGGTTCCAAGTATGGTCCGTACGTTGCAACTTTGCTACTCTATGCGATCGTGCTTGGGGTCGTGTACACGCTCTTCCTCGTGATGCTTTGGGTCGTGTACCAGCACTTCCTCGTGATGACCACGTACCTGCTTGGAGCATAGACTCACTTCAACAAGCTCTTCCTCGTGATGCTTTACGTCGTGTACCAGCTCTACATTGTGACCACGTACCTGCTGGGAGCACTGTTGTACAATTTATACCTACTTCTACTCTGGACCCGAGCCGACCCCTTGCCGCCGGTACCGTTGCTGCAGCAGAGTCGATAAAGGACTCATGGACGGATGTAGCAAAGCCTTTTCTTGGCTGCAAGAGACGGTGACGTGGATGCCGTGCGATTCCGTCTGTACGAAGGCCACAGCGTCAACGCCAAGGGCGAGGTACGGTGGATCTCGACAGTGATGACACTTTGCACTGATGTAGCATGATGGGACGCCA